ATGTGCCGGGAATGAATAGTTTCATGATGTGACTGATGTGACATGCACAGATTGTACAACTGATAAAATGCCTTGGAAGCATGCACAAAGACATGACATTTGCAGATTTGATACCATTCATTTGGTTTATACATATCATATCGCGCCATATCAGATCATGTCATATCATATCATATTGTATCATATTGTATCATATTGTATCATACTGTATCATATTGTATCATATTGTATCATATTGTATCACATAATGTCATACCATGATATTTATAGAATTATCAACAATCTCGATACTGCCACCCGGTGCTTTTGATCTCTGCCATAACTTCCATGTCCCAGGATGGTCTGACCGGAAGCGCCTGGGGAGACTGGGCCAACTACACAGCATCTCCGTTGCGCGCATTCGAGAATGAACTCGGCGTGCAGGCGCCCGTGGGTTTCTGGGATCCCGCCGGATTTACCGCCGATGGAAGCGTGGAGGACTTCAAGCGACGTCGCGCCACCGAGATCAAGCACGGTCGCATTTCGATGTTGGCCACCATGGGATACATCACCCCAGTGACTTGGATTTGCTGAAGCTGCGTTTAAAATTGTTTAAGATAATTTCAGTTTCAGTAAAAATCATGTTTTGTTAATGTGTCTGTTTCTGCAATTCCTCTATAGTTGGGTGATGTTGGGTGAACCTACTGGCACTGGCAATATGTGGCGATGTTTTATTCTTGAATGCATTCCGATGAAACAATCCTGAGGAGATCACTGGCAAATTCCCTGGCTACTTATCTCCATCCGCCGGTTTGAAGTTCGCCGATGTGCCTAATGGTTTGGCTGCCATCTCAAAGGTCCCAGCCGCAGGACAGGGTTGAAACAACTGGATCCATCTGAAAATGAAAGCCATATATATATATTTATTATACATTATAATTTAATTATGTATATAATAATACATAGATTCATCTTATATACACATACATTTTCACATATCATCCTTTAAACGTGGTTGATATGTTTGTGGATAAACAATAGATGATAGATATACTTATGATATGATGATATGCAATTTTATTATCTCCAAACCTACACTACAACTATGACAGTATAACACGTTGCTTTGCTGATTTATGTGGGTTGAGAGGCCCAATATGCCAACCCTGGAGGATGGGCTCAGATCTTGGCCTACATGGCTTTCTGCGAGGTCTCTCAGGAACAGACCCCAGGAAGTGCTGCGTATGCTGGAGACTTTGGATTCAAGGTGTTGACCTCTTCTGACCCGGCTGAGAAAACCAAAAAGCTTAATGCCGAAATCGCTAACGGAAGACTTGCGATGATGGCCATCATCGGCATGTTTTTCCAGGCGGGGATAGGGTTCTGTACGCATGTTGTTTGTTACAACTCAACAAGCAAAGACACACTACAAAGAGTGTGGCTGAAAGAGTGCAACAATGGTAGAGCATCAGCACAACAGAATCAACATCGTTGAAGAAAGAAGCGCAAAACTGTGTCAAATTGCATGGTGTGTTCTAAGTTTCTGAAGTTTATTTCTTGCCAGCCACGTTTTCAGCACACCTTATGTTTCTTTGTTTGATATTGTTCTTATGGCTATATTTACACATATGCTTGCCAATAAGGTAAGTTGTGGAATGTGCCGGGAATGAATAGTTTCATGATGTGACTGATGTGACATGCACAGATTGTACAACTGATATAATGCCTTGGAAGCATGCACAAAGACATGACATTTGCAGATTTGATACCATTCATTTGGTTTATACATATCATATCGCGCCATATCAGATCATGTCATATCATATCATATTGTATCATATTGTATCATATTGTATCATACTGTATCATATTGTATCATATTGTATCATATTGTATCACATAATGTCATACCATGATATTTATAGAATTATCAACAATCTCGATACTGCCACCCGGTGCTTTTGATCTCTGCCATAACTTCCATGTCCCAGGATGGTCTGACCGGAAGCGCCTGGGGAGACTGGGCCAACTACACAGCATCTCCGTTGCGCGCATTCGAGAATGAACTCGGCGTGCAGGCGCCCGTGGGTTTCTGGGATCCCGCCGGATTTACCGCCGATGGAAGCGTGGAGGACTTCAAGCGACGTCGCGCCACCGAGATCAAGCACGGTCGCATTTCGATGTTGGCCACCATGGGATACATCACCCCAGTGACTTGGATTTGCTGAAGCTGCGTTTAAAATTGTTTAAGATAATTTCAGTTTCAGTAAAAATCATGTTTTGTTAATGTGTCTGTTTCTGCAATTCCTCTATAGTTGGGTGATGTTGGGTGAACCTACTGGCACTGGCAATATGTGGCGATGTTTTATTCTTGAATGCATTCCGATGAAACAATCCTGAGGAGATCACTGGCAAATTCCCTGGCTACTTATCTCCATCCGCCGGTTTGAAGTTCGCCGATGTGCCTAATGGTTTGGCTGCCATCTCAAAGGTCCCAGCCGCAGGACAGGGTTGAAACAAC